CAATCAATCAATCAATCAATGAAGCGATTGATCAAGCAAAAACACAAGTAAAAGTTCAATCAATCAATAATCAATCAATCAATCAATCAATCAATTGGTCGGAGGAAAAGATAAAGCAATCAATGAAGTAATTGATCAAAGCAAAATATCGATCAATCGATCAATCAATCAATCAATCAACGTGTCAATCAAGCAAGCAATCAATAAACAGTCGATCAAACAAGAGTCCACGTAAGCAGTTGTCCATTCAGCCTTAGAAGGCACAATGATGGGCGCCAGGTAACAGATTGAGTAATGAATCCACCATGTAAGCAGTCATCCAATCAAAGCTATGACCAGGCAGAGTGATGATGAATGGCATGGAAGCAAGCAAAGGAATGGTTCCATGCAGGCAGTCCTGTGTGCACCTAATCAGACAGTACCAGCAATGATTCGTCGGCAATGATGCGTCAGTGATGATGCACAAGCAACCAAGAAACCAATGCAAGGGAGAAGCTGCTGGTTCAACCAATCTGTCAAAGCAGCCAATGATGCGTCAGTAATGACGTGCAAGCAATGACGCACAAGCAACCAAGAAACCAATGCACGGGAGAAGCTGCTGGCTGGTTCAGCCAATCTGTCAAAGAAACCAATGATGTGCGAGCAATTACTCGAAAGGTGCTGTCCTCAACCTCAACCAATCAGACAATCAATCAAACAATTTAATCAAAATTTTGAATTGCAGATCTCACCTCAACCAATCAGACAATCGTGATGGTATTCCAGCCGGCAATCAATCAATCCATCAGTCAATAAGTCAATCCATTAATCAAGGAATGAATACAGTAAGCAAGCAATTCAAGATGTGAAGCAATTAAGCAAGCAATCCAAGATGTGAACGAATGTGTCAATGTATAACTAATCAGTTCCCCTAAGAGCTGTCGAGTTAAAGCGGTTTGATGTGTTCTGTCTGTGTTCTTGTTCGTTCTGTTGGTTGCTCTGTGCCTGTTTTCTCCCCCTTGTCTCTCATCTGTCTGTTTGTAGGTTGTTGTTTTTTGACCTACATGAGCCGGGTTGAAGCGGACAAGGCCATTCAGCTGTTCCATAATAAGCGTACCATTCCACCGGTAGGCGGAAAAACCCAAAGGAAAAGTTGCAAAGGATAAAGCAAAAGTAAAACTGGAATCGTTGTTATTGTGCATGAAATGTATGTGACTGGGAGTATCATTTCCCTGACATTGTTTGTTTTCTGGTTATCTATATGTATATATTTGGGTGATCTATATATAGGGTTCAGCCTCCTGATGAGTTGGTGAAACTCCGACGAAACAGTTTGTCACAGCCCCTCGTTTGTGGTCCTCTTCTCCCTCTTTGCCTACGGATTACCGGGCAGCGCTGTTTGACTATATATAGACTTGTCATCTAGGATCTGTTTATGTTTGTTTCCCCCTGTTTTGTTATATTTGGCTGTTCCCTTCCTCTTTCTTTGCCTCTTTGCCTTTTGGCTGTGTGCAAGGTGGGTCGATATGACACACGGGGGTGGGGGCAGCCGCCACAACCTACATCCACGTGGGCGGCCTTGTACGCAAGAGGTTCTGAACAGGGGGAGTTGTAAGTAAGAACATAAAAAAACGAATTGATTTTTTCTTGTTTTTTTTTTCGCTTTTGCGCTCTAATATCTTTGTGATGATATGTATCGCTTGTTGTCCTCTTCTCCCTCTCTGCCTACGGTTTAACGGGCAGCTCTGTTTGACGATATACATATGAGTCGGTGAAATTTTGATGAAACAGTTTGTCACAGCCTCTCGTTTGTTGTCCTCTTCTCCCTCTTTGCCTACGTTTTACCGGGCAGCTCTGTTTGACGATAACAGGGGGAGTTGTAAGGAAGAAGATTAAAAATGAATTAAGTTTTTCTTATTTCTGTTTTTGCTTTGGCGCTCTGATATCATGTGACAATATATATATATATATAGCCTCCTGATGAGTCGGTGAA